ATATATATATATATATATATATATATATATATATATATATATATATGTATTATAGTGTTATTTTATATTTTACATATGAAATGCTATTCATAATTCAAGCTCGTCTTACAGATGTTCTCAATTTCGTGTAAAATGCTTCACGACATTTTTGACATTACTCATCGCAAATCCTAATAAGCCATCGTTCAAACACTTCATGACTTTTTCTTTTTTGAAACGATAGTCCATGCGCACATGCACACACATGCATACACATGCACATACACACACACACACACATGCACATGCACAAATTTTTATTTTGTACTCTTTTATTCAAAATATTACCAAATTAGCATATTTATACACGCATATCATTTTATGCTAATGAATATTCACGTTAAACGCTTCCGGCTTCTTCTCGTTTTCATTTTTACCTTTGGCTCGGCGCAAAGCGGTTGTGTTTTGGTATTGTGCATGTGTATGTCTATGCGTGTGTGTGCAACATCTTTCATTATTATATTTTTGAAACTTTTTGCAAATTTCCTCAGAAACATTTTTTCCTCTCTTATTTTTATATTTTCTTTCTCATTTTAACTATATGTTCATCTACTTGTGCAAAGCCCTTCCACCACATAATGCTTCATTATGTTAATCCAACAGATAGAGAAAAAGAGAGAAAAAGAGAGAGAGAGAGAGAGGTAGAGAGAGAGGTAGAGAGAGAGAAAGAGAGAGAGAAGGGTAGACTCTTTTAAGATCTTTCATCTGTACATGCCAACATTTGAATTTTTTCTCATTTCGAGACAGAAAGTAACTTCTCATCCTCTCATCTCGTTCGTTCTCTCTTCCATCATTACCTGTGTTTCATTTGTAATTTCCATATTTAGTCTTTGTTTCATTCAACTATCTACTTGAGAATCTATCGTTTAAATGTTCTCCTCACACTAATTTATTGACAGCTTCATCCTCAAATATAAGAATTTCCGTTTATGCTTCTCCTTTCCTTCCTTCTTCTCCTTCATCATTAGCACCACCTATATTAGTAATATTTCAATTTATCTTTTTATACTATAACTTTCTTTTTTATTTCATCATTCAACTAACTCATCTCTCCGTTTGCATCCAATTTCATAGCATCTTCTGAACCCTTCTCATGAAGCCGACTCACTTGCTCTCTCCTTTCCTCATCACACCCCATCTCCTTCTCGATACCTCATCTCTCTCTCTCTCTCTCTCTCTCTCTTTCTTTCTCTCTTTCTCTGAAAAAGTATTAATAATATCCATATATGAACGACTGAAAAATAGAATGTTTAAAAGTTTTTTCTTTCAAAATAGTTATTTTTCAGTGAAAAAAATAATCATCGGTCATCATTGGGTCTTGTTCTTGACTATATTGTTTATATTCTCTTTAAATCTTCTCCTAATCTACTATCCATTAGTATAAATAGACAGCAAAAAAATTTAAGAAAATTAATTTTTTGTCTTTACAAACAAAAGAATTTTCAATTGAAATAGTTTTTCATGAATTTTCTTTAATTTTCTCATTTAAATTGAAAATTAGTCTTTAAAGTACATATTTGATCCCTCCTCCCACTTATATAGTCGTGGGCCTTCATCATCATAACGAATTGCCAAGCGATGTTTCATCTTTCTGCAATAATTTCAATTTTTCTTTAAAGTTTTATTGAGAAAAAGCGAGAGAGAGAGGAAGAGTGAGAGAGTGATAGAGAGAGAGAGTAAGATAATGAAGAAGAAAAAAAGAATTGTTGAGGACAAAAAGTTCATCAAACGTTGTTTTGGACCTTTGAAGAACAGGACAACAAACGACAAACTATGTGTCCATCCCGAATTCAGATCTATCTTAGCAGTTGTTTCAATTCATCCAGGCAAATCTATCTGTCAATCGAAAGATCCTTGAGAGAGAGAAAGAGAGAGAGAAAAAGAGAATGTAAGCGATATAGAAAGAAAAGCAGCTTCAGAGATAACCCAAACAGAGAGAAATAAAGAGGGTTGAGAGGGAAGCTAAGAGAGACAGAGAGAGATTTTACTTTGAAACTGGGCAATAGGCACATCTGATTTCTCAGACATTATTTTGAGCTGAACAATATTTTATTAAAAATTTATGGCATATTGCGTCTTTTTTTTTGTTGAACAACTCAATATTATTCTAAGAAGAATAGATTGAACTATATGTGTTATATCTCTCATGATTCATATTATTTTCTTTTTTTTTCTTTTCTCGCAGAAGAACTCATGTGTAAAGCGTCGTATGGGATGACAATCCCTCTCTCTTCATGATCATTTCACATTTGCATCAAATGATTTTTCTCATTTTTTTGTTCTTCTTCTTTTTATTACAATTTTTAACATTTTTATTTTATTTTATTTCTTACTTTCTTTATTCTTCCACTTCCTCGTCCTCACCACCACTTGATCTTTCCACTTCTTTTTTTCATCTCTCCAATCCAATTTCCAGATTAAATCATGTTTTTCCTTCTAAACATCCATTTTATCCTAAAATTTTCTCATTTCTCCACTTTTTTTCAGTTTTGATCTGTTTGAGTAGTAACATGTTGAAACAACAAACTTTCCCCCCCCCCTACCCATTCCACAAAAAATGTCTTTTACCCACCTCCTCTTTTCAGCACATGGAAATATCTTTCATTTGTTCATTCCATTCCTCCTACCCTCATATTCGTTCTGTGTGTCTGTCTCTCTGGATATCCATGCTTGTTCCTCTTCCATAGATTCATAAGAAGTCCATTCATCATTCTTACTCTTGATCACAAGGTAAAAGAAGACTAATTCGAATGTTGTAATCGAAGAAGGCTTAAAACGCTTTAGGAATTCTTACGAAACTAATTGATTTTCTCAATTTTCCTCATTATCGTTCCATATTTTTCACTCAAACAATTTAATATTCTGATGTGTTTCACTCGTATTCAGAACAGTTTTTCTCTTTTTTTTCTTTTTTTTCTTTCCTGAATAAAAAAATATAAAAAAAAGTAAAAGAGTAATAGTTGTTTCAGACACTTCATCATACAATGGGAAAAGCTCATAGTAAAGACGTGGACCCCAAGAAAAAGAGAGCAAATAAGAAGTTGTTGCCAGAAGAAATCAAGGAATTAGAGGATAAAACATATTGTATCGTTCATACACCCAGCATGTCCTTTATCATTCATTTTCTATTTATAGTTTCTCGTAAAGAATTAAAAAAGTGGTACAAAGACTTTGTACGCGACTGTCCTACCGGTGAGCTGAAGATGGAAGAGTTTCAGGTTTGAAGCTATTTAGGAATCTCATCATCAAACAGCATATTTCAGAATATATACAAACAATTCTTTCCAAATGGAGATCCGTCAAAGTTTGCTGCATTTGTTTTCAACGTTTTCGATGACAATCAGGTATTTGACGAACTTTTGCCTTTGTGTGTGTCTGTCTGTATGTGTGTGAATGAACGTTTAAGAACTTTGATAAAAAAAAAAACTTTATGAAGTAAGATGTATAACGAAATGATTACAGGATGGTCATATATCCTTCAAAGAATTCATAGCAGCTTTATCTATCACTTCTCGTGGAACACTAGATGAAAAGCTTGATTGTAATTCATATATCCTTTATCATACTCAACTAATCTTATAATTGAAGGGGCGTTCTCCTTATATGATGTGGATAAAGACGGTTATATAACTAAAAATGAAATGGCAGACATAGTGGATGCTATTTACAGGTTTCTAATGCAACATCAATGGATTAAAATAAAAATATTTATAGTATGATAGGCAATATGTTGGAGTTGCCCAAAGATGAGGATACGCCTCAGAAGAGAGTGGAAAAAATATTTTCAAATATGGATAAGGTATGTTCCAATAGAATGAATGTATTGTATGTGTGAGTGAATGAGATAAGAATAAGATAAGAAGCTTCAAATCTGCGAAACTACAAGTTGATGAATGTTCGGAATGAAATTATTCTTATCTATTTGTAGTTTATCACTTATATTAATGAAACATATTTTAAGAATTACGATGGACGCTTGACCAGAGAGGAGTTTAAGGAAGGCTCTAAGGCTGATCCATGGATTGTTCAAGCTTTAACTATGGATATGGCTTCGTAGTTAATAATTCATTTTCTTTCGTTTTTCTTGCTTTTTTTTCCTTCAAATTCCAATCTCTATTTTCATATATTCAATATGTCATTGTGTATACTTTATTATGCTTTATACCTTATCATTTCTATTTAACTATCTTATTTAAGCTGAATATGCAAATGACTTATATCTTCAGCTTGATCTCTTGACACTTAATAAATATTCTATATAAAATGGTGTTTTCTGAACAAAATAAAATCATATTTCACACACTTAATTATATTTAATCAAAAAAGAAGGTTGTTCGATAACATGCCCCTGTGTGTGTTTGTGCTGAATAGATCAGCATCATTTCCTTCTCTTTTCAGCTCTCATTCTCTCTTCACTCTGTCCCTCCACATACACCTTCTATTGCTATACAATGTCATCATTTCGTTATAAATTTAACTTTTATATGAGATTATGGTTATTATTTATCTTATCATTGTTGCTCTAAGAGGTCATCCTCACTTGTTTTGAGACAGTTTTTTAAAAATTGCTCTCAATCACGCTCTGCTTACGTGAGAGCAACTTTTTCATTTTTGACTTTTCGTAACACGGGAACGGTTGTGTTTGTTTTTCTCTTCATCTCACATTCACATTCTATTTTCATATTCTTTTCTTTTTTTCATTCTCTCTCATACATTCTTTTTCTCTCTTTTTTTCCGCACAAATCGTTTTCTCAAAAACTAATTTGCAATTTATAAAAATATATTTCATCATATCGAAATAACTTTTGACATTCTCTTCTCTCTCAAGAATGCTTTTGATAAGATACGCTATTGATTGATTTGTTATATTTTTACCTTTTTAGATCAAAATATATGATTGAACTGAACGGTTTCTGTGGTGATCCTTTATGGGTAAGAGAGATAAAAGATCCTCATCAGAATAAATCTATTTTCAGAATGATTTTCAACCATTTTATAATAAAACATCATTTCCTTTGCCGACTGAATGTTTCTCTCATACAGTTCTGATTGGTTTGTGAATAGAAGTATCAAAAATCTGATACTAAAACCTGTTTAAGCTATTCCATGTCTCTTTTTTTGGTTACAAGTTCCTAAACTCATAATCCAAATAAAGAATTCTACGAGACCATCTCTGCCATGGACAACATTACAGGGATTGAAATGGGTAACTTCGAATATTTGAGAGAAATCAAATCAACCCATGTTTGCTTTCAGTTGGTTTCAACCATAATTCTCGTAGACATGAGCTTTCTGTTCATCATCTCTCTTTGGGATCATTTTCTTGTCGGCAAAACAGTACCGTTGGTTGAATTCATATTCCCATGTGTGATGGTCTTAACAATGGTAAATATGATAAAGTAGAAAGGAAAACAAATAAAATCAGATGTCAATTATGATAAGTATGAACGAAGTCCGAAGAGCTGGAATACATTCATCCGGAACCCTCTTCTTAACATGGCTCGCATTCGTTCTATGTGGAACTCCAGAATTCATTGTTTGGATCACAATGGGAACTGATCCTGATGTTAACAATTAAACTTAGTTGCAATTCAAAATAATATTCTTGCAGATCGTTCCAAACCTCAGCTTCTTCCGCTATGTTGCTTTTCTTGTTTACTATCCGATGTTGATTATTCAACTATTCTTTCATCTATTCTCTGATCCGTTGACTATCTTTGGTAACGATGATGTGAGTTTTGTTTATGATTATTAGTTTCATTTCAAACAAATATTCAGAATAACTGCCCTGAAGCAACTGCATCTTTCCTTAACAGAACTGTTCTTTGGTGGATGAATCCGATTATTGCTAAAGGACGGGAAAAACCTTTGGAGGTTATACATTAATTTCATAGATTCTATGAGGAACTGAAAATCTTTTATAGGTTGAAGATTTGTTTGAATTAGACGATGAGATGCAGCCTGAAGGTTTAACCTTGAAATGGAAAGTGCAGTGGGGGAAAGCCTTGCAAGGTTTGCTTTACTTTCTTACGTACAGAAAGAGAAATGTTCTTATTTGTTATTCAGATTACGAACGCCGAAAAGCGGCATTCAATCTATCTCGACCAGAAATATCTGCCCAAGATTCCTTGTTAGGCTCAAAAGGTGCCAGAAAGAGCTATGGAGCAGACGACAACAAAGTTAGGAAACCCGGTACGGATGACATTCAGTAGTTGAAAGGAAAACGAATGTTTGAAGATATCGAAGAAGAAGAGGTACCTTTGCCTTCCATCATATGGTCGTTATGGCCGATGTTCAAATGGCAATTAATTGGAAGCTCAACCGTTAAATTCTTTGGAGATCTTTTGAATTATGCAAATCCCGGATTCTTAAGGTTAATAAGAAGGGTTGTTCATGAAGAAATCACAATGTTTCAGTTTGTTAATAGCGTTCACTGAGGACGAGTCAGCTCCTTGGTATTTGGGTCTCTTCTATGCTATCTTGTTGTTTGTTTGTGCAGAACTGCGCTCATTATTCATTAATTCTTACAACTACCGTAACACTAGAGTTGGAAATCAAGTTCAATCCGTACTTACAACAGCCGTATATGAGAAGGTTCCATTGGCAATTGGATCTCATTTGTATATACTGTTTTTAGACATTACTTCTTTCTAATGCTTCTCGTCGTATGAAAACCCATGGAGAAATAGTGAATTTGATGGCTATTGATGTTGAAAGGTTTAGAATGATCACACCTCAGCTGCAACAGTTCTGGAGTAGTCCAATGCAGGTAAACTCATTAGCATAAGCTATCGCACATGAGTTCCACGTGAAGCGGGCACGGCGTTTTTACGTGGAACACAAGTGACCTTCAGTT